ATCAACGCTCATATATATATATATAATATGTAGTTCTGTATATATGTATACATGTCTATATGTATATATGAGTGTATATCTATATATGGTTATATGTGAGTATACATGCGTATATTTGTATATGTATGTATATGTATATGTATTTGTATATGTATATGTATATGTATATGTATATACATATATACACACATGCATATGCATCTGTACCTATATCTATACAGACATAGATATGCATGTGTAGACATATCCATACCAAAACACATTGCTGCAGTATTCGGTACGTCGTTTATGCCTGGAGACCCTGAAGCCGACATGGTACCCAGAGATCCCAAACCCTTTCAAAAGCAAGTAGTATTACTCGAAAACTACTGTTGATGATCTAGATCTTGCATTACCTTAAGGACCCTAAACTATGGGAATTATGGTATATTCCTTATTATGGTAATGCCGGATGTTTATCATCCACCGTATCCACTGCAGGATCTTATTGTCATTGACTCCAGTCCCTGAGCCTGCAAGCATGACGAGCTGAGGTTCTTCCGGAGGCTGTCAGCAAAGCCAACGCCGCGGAGGTGGGCCCACTTATGGGCTCAGAGTTTCAGCGTTTCGGGGTTTTGTCAAAGTCGGTTGCCTCGAGCCGCTGTTGAATGAATCGGACCGTCGCAACATGCGAGTGTTGGGCATGAACTGCCATTTTGTCAACCTTGCTGCGGACATCAGTAAAAATAATGAAGGCAGGCGTTATGTTTAAGAAATGTGATTCCGGCTGCCGATCTCGTACCTCTCGTCTTCTATTTTTGACATGACTTCAACCCGTCCGACGATCACTGAGTCTTGGTAAGAAATGACGAAGTGTTTTTGGCACAGTTATATACCTGAACCAAGATGAGTGAGTTAGACTACCAAGGGTCTGAGAGCCTACAGTGCACCCCCGGAGTTTGACAGGAAACGACAGTGGTTGAACTTGACGGTAAGTTTGGCTGTGGTGGTTGTGGGACTGGTCGCAGCGGTGGGTGTCAGCAGCAGTTGTGGTAGCCGTCAAAGTAGCAGTGCTGGTGGTGGTGGTGGTGGTGGCACTAGTAGTCGTCGTCGTAGTCGCAGTTTCAACTCCAAAGCAAAAGCCTTGCACTGCGACACCGGATGTCGCAATTTGGCACCCCTAGAATCCCCGACGCTCATGCGCAGGATGCCGTGGAGAAGGCTGTGATCACCTCAGAGATGATCACCGCGGGTGGCGATGACATGGATGAAGTCCGACAGGCCACTGAGTGAGCCTTAGGGGTTCGACCTGCGTATTTGCCATTGGCGTTCCTCAGGATTCGAGGGTTTAGAGTTTGGGGTTTAGAGTTTAAGATTCAGGTTTTAGGGTTTTAGGGTTTAAGGGTTTAGGGTTTAAAGTTTAGGGTTCAGTAGAGGAAAGTTCAGGGTTCAGGCTTGAGGACTGGAGGGGCTTGGTAAGCACATTATCTGGTTCAGGGCCTAGGGTTCAGGGTTTAGGGTTTAGGGGCCTGAACCCTAAACCCTAAACCCCCAAACCCCGACGTTACCCTCATCAGTAGAAGCTCTGTCATCTTTCTGACGGCCGACATTTGTCGGAATGTTCAAGGCTTCCATCAAGCAGTCAGGGCTTTGGGGATTTGGGAATTCAGGGTTAAAGGTTTAGGGTGTAGGGTTTAGGGAGTTACGGTCAGTGACCGTTAATGGGTCAAGTGGCTGTGTGGCAGGGTTTTTATTCTTTACTGGCAGCCCATGGCTGCTTATGAAGTAAGGGACGACCATATCTATGGCGAATAGTGGCATCTTCAGTATACCCCTGAACCCGAAACCCTAAACCTTAAACCCTAAACCAAACCTGACACCCTAAACCCCGAACCTTGAACCTTAATCGTCTGCCTGCGGCTTTTTGAAACAAGAGACCTGATTAGGGGCTCTTCCTGGGTTTTACAAAGGTTCTCTTTTTTATAAGGGCTTGATATGAGTTCTTTCGAGGTTCCAGAACGGTTCAGGATTTTTTTGAGCCTGGAGCAGGGACTCTGTAAGTAGCCCCTAAACCCTAAACCCTAATCCCTAAACCCTGAACCCTAAACCCTAAAGAATCATTCCGAAATTGAGCCGCGCTCACCGAGATCGCAAGCGGGCGAAGCCTAAACGCTTAACCCGGTTTGGATCCCCAGCGCTGCAGCAAGAGTTCCTAGCCTGTTCTTAGAGCCCCTTATAGAGCTTCTTAAATTTAGGGTTTTGGGTTTAGGGTTTAAGGTTTAGGGTTTTGGGTTTAGGGTTTGGGTTTAGGGTTTCGGGTTTTGGGTTTAGGGTTTGGGTTTAGGGTTTCGGGTTTTGCGCTTAGGGTTTAGGGGTTGGAACCTGATGCACCCCTAAACCTAGCCCTTATAAAAAAGAGAACCTTTGTAAAACCCAGGAAGAGCCCCTAGGCATCAGGTCTCTTGTTTCAAAAAGCCGCAGCAGACGATTAAGGTTCAAGGTTCGGGGTTTAGGGTGTCAGGTTTGGTTTAGGGTTTAAGGTTTAGGGTTTCGGGTTCAGGGGTATACTGAAGATGCCACTATTCCCCAAGCGCTGAACTGAACACCTTCAACCCTGACCTCTGAACCCTTCATAGAACCACTTATAGAACACAAACCCTAAACCTGAAACCTACTTCCCGAAGCATTAAGAACTAACGCTTCAACCATAGACTAAAAACCCTTTATTATAGAACCCCTCATGAACTTTAAACCGCAAACCTTAAACCTACTTCCCAAAGCCCTAAACCCTGAACCTTCACAGCCCTAAACTCTAAACTGTAAACCTTAAACCTACCGCCCAAAGCTCTGAACCCGAAAAGTTCAAGCCCAAACCCTAAACCCTGCGTAGAACCCACTGTAGAACCTTCTACTTTCAACCCTGAGCTTACTTCCCAGAGTCCTCAGCGCTAAAATCTAAACCCTTCATGGAACCCCTCATAGTACCCTAAACCCCAAACCCACTTCTCAAAGCCCTGAATTGCTGCAAACCCTAAACCCTAAACCCTGAACCCTAAACCCCAAACCCTAAACCCTAAACCCCACACTCTAAATCCTAAACCCTAAATTACAAATCCTAAAATCCAAACCCTAAATCAGGCCGTGACTTCAACGGAGCAGGCCTGGTCTTGCCTTTGGATCTGTGGGGTTTGCCCGGGGAATCCCTGAAAGGGTTTAGGGTTTAGGGTTTAGGTTTAGAATTTAGGGTTTAGGATTTTAGTTCCTTCAAGGGTACCTTGAAGGGTTCGTAGAAGGGTTTAGGGGGGGTTGGGGTTTAGGTGTTGAGGGTTTAGGGGCTTTGGGTTTCGGGGTTTAGGGTTTTGGGGGGTTTAGGGTTTCGGGATTTGGGGATTTGGGAGTTTATAGCTTTAGAGTTTAGGGTTTAGGGTTTAAAAGTTTAGGTTTAGGAGGTTTAAGGGGAGGGGATCGGGGGTCTGTTGGCTCATTCGGGGATCTATTACTAGAATGGGCTTCTTCAAAGGATCTATAAGGTACAGTACATGCCCAAAAACGCCCTAAACTCCAAACCGTAGTGCAGAAGGGTCGGAACAATTGGCAATCATGTCTCCTGATAGTCCGGCTACAGGTCTAATATCCCCCCGACAGCCTTATTCCATTTGTGAGCTAAACGCTCAACCCTAAACCCTTAACCCTACATGTTTCAACACGGTGAGGCTGCCCAGGAGGCCTCAAAAGGCGGGATGAAGGTAATGTAGGGGCCGAATAATTACCTATACTATTTTGGGGGGTTCCTTATTACATGTATAGCACACTGCGCGCCGAAACCCTAGTCTAATTATTAAGGCCCTTATATTTTCCCTTGTTTTGGAGCGCCTCTGGGGGCAATACTACCCAGCTACCTTCATCCCACCCTGGGAGCCCTTTGAATCTAAATCCTCGGCCGTGTCAACACGGTGCGGGTTTAAGGTTTGGCTCTTTGAAGGTAAAACCCTAAACCCTAAACCCCAAACCTTAAGCCCTAAACCCGAAGCTCTAAGCCCCAAGCCCTAGACCCTAAACCCTAAACCTCAACCCCTAATGCCCTCTTGGAACCCAGACTTTCCAAAATCATGTTAACTAAAGCAGATACTTTAAATCATATGGGGGACCCTACGATAATGTAAGGTCTATCCCTGACTTAAGGGATATTAGAAGCTCTGGAAAGGCCTAAACCCCAAACCCTAAACCCTGAGCCCCAAACCCCAAACCCTGAGCCCCAAACCCCAAACTCTAAACCCTAAACTTTCCAGGGCGTACCATACTGAAACTTTAACCCTAAAACCCTCAGCCCTAAACCCAAATGCCCTCATGCCCTCTTTGAAGGCCGTCCAGGAGGCGCAGAAGGCGATGGGCGAGGCCAGGATCTTCCTGAACGCCAAGCAGGCGGCTGCCCGGCGGGAGCCCCAGGGGGCGCCGGACCTCCAAAGTTTTCTTTTTAGGGTTTAGGGTTTAGGGTTTAGGGTTTAGGGTTTAGGGTTTAGGGTTTAGGGTTTAGGGGTGCAGGTTTTTTTTTAGGGTTTTCGGTTTAAGGTTGATTTTTTGGAGATTTAGGGGTTTAGGGCTTTAGGGAATTAGGGTGTTCGGTTTAGGGTTTAGGGGTTTAGGGGTTTAGGGGTTTAGGGTTTTAGGGTTTTAGGGTTTTTAGGGTTTTTAGGTTTAGGGTTTAGGGATTAGGGTTTAGGGGTTCAGGGTTTAGGGTTCCGTCAAGGTTTCAACTAGGGTTCCTGAAAGGGCTCCGCAAAGCGATGTATTCGGGTTCTAGAAGGGGGTTTGTAGGCTTCCTTAAAGGATCATGGGGCTCCTTACAACGAGGGTAACAATACTTATAACTACTTGCAATCCCAAGCCTAACCCTAAACCCTAAACCCTAAACCCTAAACCCTAAACCCTAAACCGTACATACAGCCTTGCTTCTTAAGTCTCTGCGATTCATCAAGCAGGTTCTAGGGTCTAGGATGGCTTCGGGCTTAAGGACGAATTTAGGGGTTCGAATATTTGGGTTTAGGGTTTAGGGTTTAACGTTTCGGGTTTATGGTTTAGGAATTGCCCGCATTATTCCGGTTTAGGGTTTAGGGTTTATTCCTCAAAATCAGTATCATGCATGTGTTAAGGCCAATATATTTCATGCCACGACTGGTTGATGGAGAGTTGTGCCAACCAGAGCCCAGCATCCCCTTACTTAAGAGCCCTAGGGGGATTGGGATTATGATTTTTGCAGGTATGTTCTTTAAGTAAGGGGTACTAGGCTCTCTAGGTTAATGCCCAGTCGTCATGTGGCTGCAATGTCTACTCAAGACAACCCAGTAGTAGGACTCCTAAACAGATGGAGCCAAAATACTTCAAATGTTCTTATTACTAGTTCTGTCGTGATTATTCTAATGCCAAATTTGTTGCTACCCTCAACTCAAAACTCTAAATCCCAAATTCTAAACCGTAAACTCTAAACTCCAAGCCTAAACCGTAAAACCTAAACCCTAAACCCTAAACCCCAAACCCTAAACCCTAAACCCCTATACCCTAAACCCCCCAAGCTCGGTTTAGTGATGGCGGCGTGCCTTTGCGACCTCGGGGCTGTCGGCCTGCCCTTCGTCCGCGCGCCGGCGCTCTTTCTGCGGCCGGCTGCCTGTCTAGGGTTTCTATAGCCTAGGGTTTAGGGTTTAGGGTTTTAGAGTTTGAGAGTTCAGGGTTTAGGGGTGTTTAGGGTTGATTAAGCGCCTGCTTTCGATGGTGTCACCGTTAGTCTTCATGATGGCCCATGTCTTGCACCTCATTGTGAGGACACTCTTGTTTGTTGTCTCCACAATATGGTTTCAAAGATCAAGGCTTAACGTTTCACAAACACGAAACCGAAAAGCCCCGAAACAATGCATCCCCCAAACTCTCAAACACTTTTCTAATCATTAAGGCCCCTAAAGCCTTAAATCCTGAACCCTAAAGCCCTTACGCTGTATAGTTACCCTCACAACAACCTTTCTGGTTAACCTTATAGTAATTCTTATAGCAACTCTCATAAAGGCCACGGCGGTTTAAAGTCAGAGCAGGCCGCACGTTGACGGGTGCAGCGAGGGGGAACCGGAGCATGCGCCTGCGGCGCAGGCAAACGTGACCCTTTGCTGCTGTTAAGGTTAACCTCCAGCTACCATACCCTAAACCCTAAATCCTAAACGCTAAACCCTTCACCCCTAACCTCTAAATCCTAAACCCTAAACCCTAAACCCTAAACCCTAAACCCCAAACCCTAAACCTCTAAACCCTAAACCCCTAACCCCTAAACTCCTAAGCCCAAAACCCTAAACCCCAAACCCAAAACCTCTAAACCCTAAACCCTTAACCCCTAAACCCCTAAACCCGAAACCTAAACCCTAAACCCTTTGCAGCTTTTTGGGTTGACCTTCAGCTGCCATGGCCTGGTTCTTAATATCGGCACTACAGGCACTCAAGGGTTCAGGGTTTGGGGTTTAGGGGTTTTGAACCCTCGGGTCGAGGGGCTGAGGGATTTTTAGAATAAAAGTTTAGGCTTCTACGGCGGAAGAATAAGTTGAAGGAGGTTTTCGGGCTCAGGTTTAGGGTTCAGAACGCAGGTAAGACCTCCTTGAACTTAAAGAATGATTCCTAAACTGTGTTGAATAAAACGTCCCTACATAAAGAGTGGCGCCTAAACTTTGCGGACCTACGTCCCTACACCTGATCCCGAGTTTAGGGTTTACGGGTTAGGGTTGAAGGGTATAGGGGTTAGGGTTGAGTGGTTTAGGGGTTCAGGGTTGAGGGGTTAGGGTTTGAGGGGTTTAGGGTCCAGGGTTGGGCCCCAAAGCTGAATCCCTAAACCCGACCTCCCAGAAGCCTCATCCCAGGATGTCTTTCGGCATCACCCAAGCGCAAGCTCTCAAGAAAGACCCGGCTCTGACGGCCACCTCCTCTGGCTACATCTCCAAGGCAGGGTTCTTAAGGGTTTAGTGTTTCGGGTTTAGGGTTTAGGGTCTAGGGTTTAGGGTTTAGGGTTTATTGAGGGCCTTATGCGCTTAAGGCTTAAGGGCTAAACCTTAAATCCCCTAAACCCGTAAACCCTAAGGGGCGAGGGTGTTGGGTTAGGGGCCTTTGCCAAATCCCTAGTGGCCACAAGTGCAGAGCAGCCTTGCGACATGTTTAGGGTTTAGGGTTTAGGGTTTAGGGTTTACGTGTTGCCTGAAGTTGGCCTCTGCCACGTGCTACCCAGACCTTCCAAAATATCGGAACCTATGCCGCATGCCTTTAGGGTTTAGGGTTTAGGTTTTAGGGTCCGATTATTTTTTTAGGTGTATTCCTTAGTAGAGGGATATTGGAAGATAGCCAAGACGACAACAACTTGGTGTAGCTTTGGTACACTTCCCTAAACCCTTAACCCTTTCTTATTTCCATTATGGTCCCAAAGAGCTACCTGTTCATAAAAGCTATAGGGACCTCAAGGTACAACCCAACCCTAAACCCTAAACCCTAAACCCTAAACCCGAAACCCCCAGAAAGCCAAAGCCAGGAGTTTACCCTCGGATCGGCGAGTGTGGATTCGTTTATCCCAGGCCGCTGGGCCCTGTTGCGTCTTTAGGGTTTCAGGACGTGAAGTCTACCTTAAACTGGCAGAGCCACGGTTTAGGGTTTAGGGTTCAGGGTTTAGGGTTTTGGTTTAGGGTTTTTTGGGTTTAACTACCATAACCTACGGATGTGTAGATTCTTCTTATAAGCCCAAGCATGGAGTATGTAGGGACGCTACGCAAAAAGTTGGTTCCGGTAGGTTGAGGTAGGGCTTTGGCGGTTTGGGTTTCAAGGTTTTGCGACTCGAATCATCCGGGGTCGGTTTAGGTTTAGGGTCGGGTTTGGAGTTGAGGGCTTAGGTTCAGGGTTGGGGTTTAGGGTTTAGGGTTGAGGGCTTAGGGTTCAGTAATTTAGGGTTTAGGGTTGAGGGCTTAGGGTTCAGGGTTGGGGTTTCGGGTTTAAGGTTCAGGCTTAGGGTTGAGCTTAGCACGTGGCATGTCGGGCAGGAGGTTGCCCTTTGTGGTCTGCTTCCCAGAGACTCCAAAACCGCTTAATTAAGGGTTTAGGGTTTAGGGTTTAGGGTTTAGGGTTTAGGGTTTAGGGTTTAGGGTTTACCTTAAATTATAATAAGATCCCTAATATGTTTTAAGGTATATTCCTTAGTTACGGGATTTTGGAGTCTCTGGGTCTACTGCTCCGGTTGAAGAGGCCCGCTCAAATCGTTCAAGTTACTGTAGGAGAAGGATGTCACAGACTGTGCTTCCTTAATATGGTTGGTGGCAGTTGAAGGACTTCATTCAAGTTACTCCAATAGAGAAGGCAGAGAAGGATGTCATTCTAAGTTTTGTACCCTGCACTTTCTGCATTAAGTTCCTATTTTAGCAACAAACAGGCCAAATTCTGAGTTCTGTCCGGATCTCCAAAGCCAAACTCTTGGACGCACACCCTGCGCTCGACACAGCCAGAGACGGGCTGAAGAGTCCCTACAACCCGAAACCCTCTACCCCACAGGGGAGGGGCCCTAAACCCTAAACCCCAAACTCCAAACCCGAAACCCCCGAACCCTAAACCCGAAAGCCTAAACGCGAATGTGTCCCAGGCTTGATCTATCTTCCGGAGTTCCTCACATTTGAAGAGGCGCCACTAGGGTTTAGGGTTTAAGGTGTGTGTGGTTAGGGACGTTTAGGGTTTAGGTTGAAAGCTTTATGTGTGAAGGGGTTCGAGTAGGTCATCGGGCCCAGGACACACAGCTTTCATGATCCTCATCGTCTGATGCGCTCTGTCATTTTCTATCGTCGCTTGGCGGTACAGCAGCGACCAGGATCTTTAGCACCACTATCTTCATCTGCATGTTCAACCTTATCGCCACCATTTCCATCACTACAGCCAGCAGTCAACCCTCACAAGCATCGCCATTACTGCCGCCGCTGCCACCACCAGCACCATCATCAGGACCAGCACCACGATCATCAGTTTCACAATTGCGACAACATCATCATCCTCACCCTCACTCTCACCACCATTACCATCGCAATCGCCATCGCTAGCACCATCACAATCACCATTGCCATGTCCATCGCTATCACCATCGCCATCGCCATCGCTCCATCGCTTTCACATCACCATCGCTTTCACATCACCATCATCATCGTCATGCGCCTTGAAATTTCGCCCTTGCGCCCCTTCCATGAGCACAGCAGACAAAGTAGCACAACAGCTTGGGAGGAGCAGCCTAAACCCTAAACCCTAAACTTGGAAGGAGCAGGACATATTGGCTGCCGTGGATGCAGCGGCTTGGGATGGGGACAACAAGTCCCGGCGAACTCAGCAGCAGCTTGGCCTGCCCAGAAGCTTCGGTTTTAGTGCTTTAGGGTTTAAGCTTTATGGTCCAGTGACTTTTTACAGTCTTCTGGCAGGGTGCGCATGGGCATTGCAGAGACATTCAACGGCATCGCCGAAGTTTATTTCTCTGTCAGCTTCTTCGTTTACGGACTCCTTGTCCTTTGCATTTCTGGATAGTGGTTTTGTATTCTCAGTTTCAATGGTCAGAAAAAACAGGACGCGGTCGTTTCCGCATGGCGGCGGAGCAACCTCACACAACACCATAGTTATCATTACTACTATAGTATTAAAAATAGTATTATTACAACTACTATTACTATAAATATTATTAGTATTATTAATATGAGGTCGTCGATGCTAAAAACCCGGGCTCGAATCCTGGACTCTTTCGAATCCCGCAGCATAGGGTAGCGGTTTAGGGTTTAGGGTTTAGGGTTTAGGGTTTAGGCAGCACAGGGTAGGATCTACATGTCACCCTTTTTCAGGGTGCTGGGGTTTAGGGTTTCGGGTTTAGGGTTTTGGGTTTCTGGTTTTGGGTTTAGGGTTTGGGGTTTAGGGTATGTAAGTATGACTAGAGCATTGCCACAGCATTACGATAGTAGAAGCTGAAGAAGAATGCTGCTCCAGCGATGATCCCCTAAACCCCTAAAGCCCTAAAGCCTAAACCCTAAACCCCTAAGCCCCCAAACCCTACACCCTAAACCCTAAAGACAAACCCCCCAAGGTATGGCTATGGGTTCCACTGGCGCAACCGGCACGCCAACGCCTTGACAAAGCTTGATCCGCCCCGAAGCGGGATGCCGGCTTGCTCGCAGGCACCGGGGCGAGAAGCGTTGAACATGTGTAGTATAGGGGCCTAAATAATTACCAAATACTATTTTGGGGGTTCCCTACTATAACTATAGGATAAGGGGCCCCAAAACCCTATTCTAGTTATTGAGGCCCCTACATTAGTTGGTGGCTCAGGGCAAGCACCAAGTAGGCTACACGTAACGTTCTAGTCAGGATCAGCCGAAGGTATGTGGGTGGTTCTCTAACTCCGGTCCCTTCTTAGGGCCCCCCAAGCAGTTCGGCACCCTTATTTAAAGAAAAGCCGAATTAAGAGAGAGAACTACCCAAATTGAACCCTCATAGTACCCAATACCCTAAATCCTTAACCCTAAACCCTAAACCGTGTTCCTTTAAGGAGCCCTAAACGGGACCCTACGTAGGGCTTACTGTAGCTGTCGGATGTGGAGCTTAGGTTCTAACCCCGCAACCGGCCATCTTTAGCGTTCAGGGGTTTAGGGGTTCAGGGTTAGCGGTCTAGGGATTTAGGGGTTTGGGATTTAGGGGTTTAGGGTTTAGTGGTTTAGGGGTTTGGCAGTTTAGGGGTTTAGTGTTAGGGGTCTAGGGACCCTTAAACCCTAAACCGCTCAACCCTTAAACCCTGAAGCCCCTAAACCTTAAACCCTGAAGCCCCAAACCGGTCTCAAGCTACCTGCTTTTGCCCCAGGCCGTCCTAAACCGTCTGGTCTGTGAGGGGCATCTGGAGAGTCCGGAATTCGACCAGCACCCCGGTGGTATTAGTTGGTTTTGGAGTACCATACTAGAGCACTTTTGTCGAGGACTTGTTCCTTAAAGAAACCGTTATGAAATGAAAGTTTATACTTTTTCTTTCCAGTTTCTTCAAAGTCCAGACCAAGTATAGAGTTTAGGGTTTAGGCGTGAGGGCTTAGGGGTTTGGCAGAATCCGGGAACACTTCACCCTGAACCCTAAACCCTGAACCCTAAACCCTGAACCCTGAACCCTAAACCCTGAACCCTAAACCCTAAGCCCTGAACCCTGAACCTTAAACCCTAAACCCCAAACCCTAGACCGTGAACCCAAAACCCTAAACCCTGAACCCTAAGCCCTAAACCGCGGAAGACTAAAAGGTCAGCTTGCTAAACCCCTAAACCCTCAACCCTAAACCGTGTGAAGGCCCTAAACCCCTAAACCCT